TACATATTATTTTACATGTTTTTAAAAAACTAACTGCCTGTGCCTGCAATTCACACAAAACCCCCCGCAAACTAACCGTCATTCATTTACAGAAAAATATTTTTTATTGATTTATTTTTAATATTTTTTGCCTAAAAATCCATAATCAAATCAAATGTACAATGGATAAGAAAGTTATTGATGAGACGAATCCGATGGTATTGTACGAACGTTCCCCCAACTTTTCAGAACTCGAATTCGGCCGATTTAACGCAGGATTTGTGTTAATCCTTGATGCTGCTGGTGCTGCTGATACACCCCAATTAGAAAATGGAAGAAGAAAACTGAAATGATTTTCAAGCTCTTCATCGAATGCCCTCTTTTTGCTGGCCCGACTCCGAGTTACGACTAGAAATTCCATATCAATTTGAAGAAATTGAAGATAGATAATGCTAAAAGCTGTTCAGCTTTTCGGTTGCTCATCTGGGTTTGCTTCGAATCTTCTGAAACCCAATAGTATTGTTGGATTCAGTTTTAATTTCGTCTCCTCCAAACCGTTGTCAACACCATCTTCATTATCTTGTTCTTCTTCAAAATTATCATGTGCTAGCATCGCCTCACAGTTCTTGGCTTCTCGAACTGGTTCTTTTAAAGCATTTTGTGGGTCTGCATTTTCTGAGGCAAATCCGGAAGGCACTTCCTCTTCTCCCTTGTCTATGTCAGAATCACCACCGCCATCATCTTCGACTGTAGTCCAGTCAGCTGTGGGTCATTCTCTTAACTTACTGGTTTATTTTCCCCCCTTGATTGATGAGAATCAATTTTACTTATGGTGCCTTTTTTGGGTTTATGGGTTGATTGGTATGATTATGTGTTATCTGGGAAAAAAGTGGAATATCCTTGTTAGATATTAGTCCCTCTCATGATGTTAGAAACATACAGCCACAGGATGGGTTGCTATTAAAGAACAAGATAATAATAATATTAAAGAAAGCCAAAGGAAGGGATTGCTTCTTTTGTGTATTGTAAATGAGATGGAAATGCTTTTGGTTGTCTTCATACAGTTATTTGTATGAAGACTTGGATTTATCTTAAATTACAACTTCTTTTCTTCTTAACATATAACGAGTTTTGGTTGCGTTAGCCATAAATCAATGCTATAGCCCCCGTATTCTGCGACCCTCCATTTGATTGTTTTTCAAGGTAGATGGTGAAGTCAAGGACACACACAGATTTATGTTTGATCAATTAGGAAAGTGTATCTCTGAAATTCCAACCGTTGGTGATTTGTGTGCATTTCTTGTCTATTTGTTTTCAACTTTTACATACATTGCTTCTTTTGCAGGAAAAAATTCGTAATATACGTTTCTGTCAGTGGTGCGGAGGCCAAACAAAGCATGGAATACCTGATGGAGAGGAGAAATTGAGAGCCATTTGCACAGTTTGTGGGAAGATAACCTATCAGAATCCAAAAATGGTAATACTCCTGTATTTGCATTAGATCTTTGATGAGTATGTGCAATTGCCATCTAAATATTAGATTTTCTGTTGCTTACAAGTTTTACTATAAATTGAACGAATTTGTGTAGTTTTCTGGGCCAACTTTAACTTTTGTTACTGATGCTTTTTTTTTTTTTTTAATAGTTGATATGATTATTGAAACATGTATATAATAATGAGATGAGCAAGTATCTTTTTGATTTGGTGAGAAAATAAGGATCACTGGGAAACAGGAAATATACTTTGCTCTACTATTGTAATCTAGCAGAAGCTTACTGTAAGCAAAATATGAATGTATAATTCCTGTAGGAGATTGGACTTGGTATGGCTTTTTTGGCATCACTTTCTTGTAGTTTCTATTTTTCAGAAGTCTTCTCGAAACCATATATACTATATAGTCATTTGGAAATAAACTTTGCCCTAGTATTTTAATACTCTGCTTTCTGCTCTTAGTTAATGTTTATTTTTCCTTGTGGATTTGCATTACAGCCATAAATTACACTGGCGAGGTCACATATGCAATCTATATCTATTACAAACCCATGTCAGACATGAAAAGTGCATTATGGACTCTGCTATCATTTCTTTGTCAATAATCTATTCTCCTATATTGGTAACGGCTATACTTTAACCTATTTTTTCGGTTGATACTCGTAGGTCGTGGGTTGTTTGATTCATCACGACAACAAGATATTACTTTGCAAGAGGAAGATCGAGCCATCTTATGGCCTTTGGTATGTATGTTTAATGACACGTTTAAAGATAAGAAAGGGAAAACCATCTGATTGCAAAGATTATTCAAGTCTGTGACGGAAACCAAAAGTTAAATTCTAGTGTTCCAGAAAGCACAAAATTGCATGACGCTAAAGTGAATAACTTTTTGACAATTACTTAAGTAATCCTTCCTTCTTTGATAACTTTTATTGTTGAATTTAAGAACTAGTTGTTGAATAGGACTCTTCCAGCTGGTTACTTGGAAATTGGCGAGTCGGCTGCTGATGGTGCAATTAGGGAAACCTTGGAAGAAGCAAATGCAGAAGTGGAAGTTATATCCCCTTTTGCTCAGTTAGATATCCCTCTAATTGGCCAAGTAAGAAAGAAACATCTTTTTCTTTATTTTTATGTCCAGTATACTTAATATATAACGTAATCCACATTCTGTTTTTGGTAGACATATATAATCTTCATGGGAAGGTTGAAGAAACCCCATTTCTGTCCTGGTCCAGAGTCCCTAGAATGCCGCCTTTTTTCTCTTGACGATCTACCTTTTGATTCTCTTGCATTTTCATCCATGTTGGTTACCTTAAGATTGGTACGTGCCTTTTGAACTTTAGTACATTTGAGTTTTGTACATTAGGGGCCCATATGGTGAAGTTCATGTTTCAATTTTATTAAAAAAAAAAAAAGCCTAAAATGCTTTTTAGTTCTTGTTTTCTATATATTTTTTTATTTTATTTTATTGATATTTGATATACAATTTATGAGCGAAAGATGTTAAGAATATCAATTTTATTGATGTTTTGAAAAATTAGAAACAAAAAACAAAGTAGGATCAAATGTAGCTAATTTCTATTATTTTTTGAAAATGAAACTGTGGAAAGTTACAAACAAATGTCCTGAACTAAGAGAAAGTATTAAGTAAAACATAAAGCATCAGCCCCAAAGAACCTTGCGTCGAGCCTTACAAAACCCTCCTCAATATGTGTTAGTTACAAACTAGTATAATTACTCAAACTCCAATGCAAGCCCAACAAAATGCATGGAATATTTCTTATTTATGCACCTCACATGGATCTTTTGCCTTCCCATTGAAAATTTTGCACTCCATAGTATTGCTTTGATTGCATTAACTTATGGCTTCTGTGCTTTCCTCTTAAAAGGAGGGCCACAAAGCATTTGAGCCGCATTTCCATCCATAGAAAAATGTAAGCCCCAAGATGGTCCGAAAAAATTTTGCAGCGCGGCCAAAACCTTCAATAGACAATTGAAATAGTAAAGGCGCCTTCTCCACAATTGGAAACAGAAAACACGAGTGATACCAAGTGGGCCTTAATTTTTCTACAAATTTTTTTATCTGAAAGTATCTTGTTCTTGTGACTGCAGTATGTTGAGGATGTCAAGGCAGGGAAAATCACGTTCCATTATGGCACCATCAATAAAAGGTACTTTAAAATTCAGATGATCGATTAAATGCACGTTTCAGATTTTTCCGATTCACATTGAAGGTTGTTTTGTGAAATAAGAAGTCCAACTCTATTAATTTTTTTATATATTCTATACTAATTCAATACTCGTTTAAGTTTGATCCGTAGTTTGAGTATAATCAAGCCATGAAAAAAAGAACGGGTGATTTTTTAATTCACTAACCATGTTTACTTGATTACTCAGAATTTTATCAAATTTACCTTTTTCTTCATACTGATAGAAATTTAAAATTTCCCTGATCCATCAGTCGTCCTTTCCTGTTGGCACATGTTCTCCTCCCATGCTTAAACTTCTTGCCCTTCATGGTACTTGCATTTCTGTCATTATCTCCTTATTGTGTCACACTGCAAATGGTGAATCTTCCAGTTTGTCAGAGAGAAAAAAAGAAGAAAAATGAAAAAAGAGCGACGGTGAATGCTGTGGAGATGTCGTATTTGACTTCTAAAAAAATTGGCAGTCTCTTTGTTGCCTTTGTGCAGCATTATGAGCGTCAGATTTTATGTCTTATCTAATATCTGAAAGGATCTTTATATAATGTCTTTGGTGCAATTCACGTAATGGTACACTAGTTTGACTGATTAAGTTGTAAAAGCTGATGTACAGCGGAGGGTCCCATCAAACTGAGTAGAATGTTCATTTTCTTTGATTTTTAACCAACATGGGTTGGCCTGGCCATTGAGGCCTATGAAAAAAGTAAAAGGCTCAATGGAAAAAGTAAAAGGCTTAGAGGCGGTGGTTTCAAACCATTATCGACTTTTACCTAGGATTTAATATCTTACCAGTTTTTTGGCAACCAAATGTAGTAGGGTTAGACTTGTGAGATTAGTTAAGGTGCGCACAAGCTCTTATGGATATTTATAGATATTTAAAAAAAGATAAAAAACATGCTTCCCAGTTTTGAGAACCTTCTTTACAATATATTCTGGCTAAGGCTTTGTGGACTCGATGCAGTTCAATTCATTTCAATTCAATGGATGTTTTCTCAATTCCAGTGTCTCGTTTTACATAAATGCACATTCTCGAACTCTGATTTCTTCTGCTGATGGTTTTTGTCAGGCCTGGCACAGGTGCTTCGGATATTCATGCCTATACTCTTGATTATCATCTAAGATTGTGACAAGGTACTTCCTCTCTCGCAGTTATACTAATATAGTATAGAAAAGAAAATACAGGAGAAATTTGCTCCTCCCTCTTTTGCTTTAGGTGTCTATCTGATTTGTTGGTTCATAATTGATCATTTGAAGGAGGTTCTTCGTTCTTTTTGGAGTCTTTATAGACCCATAGAGACCACAAGCACTTTTGCTATGCTTAGAAGCACTTCTCTCTCAAAATAGGTGTTCCTTAAATCCTTCCACTTTGATTAGGCTTTGCTAAGAGTTGGATAGCTGATCAAATTAAGCTCCTCTGTCATAATGAAGAGTAGGTCACCCTTGAAAACTTCTATCTAAAATTTGAAAGGCGGAACGTTAAGGCCGAATAGAAGGTAAGGAACATTCCTTTGCTAAGAGAATTTGCAAGGCTTGTTGAGGTTTCGAAGAAATGACTAAGAAAACCTTGAAAAAACTTGATCTATTAAACGCATTGATTAAGGCCGAAGAGAATTCAGCCGCTCCCTATCGGTATAGATGAAGGTTTTGGAGACTACCCGAACTTTGGCAAGGCAATGTCTCTTTGGTTACTTCTGTGAATGCTTGATACCTAGTGTGCAGAAATATCAGAATCCTTAGGTTCTTTTGAAGGTAGCCACTGCTACAATGATTTCAGTCCCTTCCCCGTAACTTTTGACTTTTAGAAGTTAAAGTTGTTTCAGCAAGAAATGTCCCCTGAGCAAAGATAACAGGAGCCTCTGGTGATGATTTGACAGGATAACTATCTAGCTTTCATGTTATTACTGAAATATTAAGAGCTATTACTGAAATATTAAGTATATTATTCGGGTAGCAGGAGGACATATTATTTATAAACTAAGGACAATATCAGAAAAGTGGTTATCAATACAACTTCACGAGCACTTCGAGAGGTCTGGACTATCCCCGAAACTAGTCCCGAAATCTACTTGTTTGTCACCTCTCTTAAAAGTCTTATTTGAATTCTTTGCTAAATTTGAAAGACAAAAATAAGGTTTTAAAAACCAAATTTTTTTCAAATTTGGGTTTAGATTTTGAAAACGTTTTCAAATAGTGAGAGCAAAACAAAGAAATATATATACGTGGAATTAGTGCTCATAAAGCTTAATTTTAAAAAATAGAAAACCAATAACACAATGGGAATCAAACATACCTTAGAAACTCCAATTTTTCAACTTCTGTTCTGTTGTTTCCCTTTCTATGCATTTGGTAGACTGGGGTCCCCTCCCCTCTAATTCTTTCAAAAATGCAGTTTCTGAATTCTGACGGTCCACCCTGCCCCGCCCGACCCGACCTGACTGAAAAAGCTAAATCTCTTTAATCTTTCAACTCCTTATACTTTCTCACTGTTTCTTTCTATGATGCAGTTAAGAAGCTGAAGAGTAGGACTTGGACTTTCAAGTTGAGACAAGAAATCTTCCATTCTTGAAGATCATAGCAATTCAACCTTGACTTTTGTAATGTGATAAGGAGCAACATTGATATGTATGTTTTTCAAACAAAAAAAAGAAAGAAAAAAGAAAAACATTAATATATACTTCTTTTTGAGGATCATTATTTGGGAGTGCATTTTCGAAAGCTATTAAAGATATACATCAATGGCTAAATGTATAATTATGTTCTTAATGTTTGTGTCATTTACAAGCTTCATTTTAGTTGAAACTTTTAGGAAGACCTTAGAGAGTAAGCTAATTTTTAATTTAGCTTTTAATATTAATAATCTATTTTATTATGAAAAAGGAAAGCGTTGTATATGATCTTCCTACAACTGTACCTCCACCTCCAAAAACTTGTATCTAATTTTTGTAATTTAGTTTCTTATTTACTGAGAGAGTTATTTTTTTTAAGCAATAACAATATAATTTAGAGAAATAGCATATAAAAGGTCTCTTAGAAAATGTACATATATCGTAATTACTAAGCCATGTTCATGTTGATAACCTAATTATTACTTTATTGAGAAAGAGTTTGAAATATTTGTTTTTGTAAAATATACAACTTAGTTGATTGAGAGACTTGGAAAATAATTACATTATTAATAAGAATGAGGAGAAAAGTTTCATAATTAACAAATACTTGTATTTTTAATAATCCTAAATATTTTTTTAGTTCAACTATATCTGGTGCGAAAATTTAAAATTCGAACTTTAAAAAAAAATATATATATGACTTAATTAGTTTAACTATGCTCAAGTTCGACATGTCGAAGCAAGCATATTTTAGCGGTAATTGACATATATCTCTAACTTATACTTGTGGTAATTGACATATATATCCAACCAAAAGGTTATGAGTTCGATCCTCCACTCCTACACGTATGTTCAAGTTGACATTAATAACTCTAAGACGAAAAGAGAGATTTGAAAGGATTTTATAATATCACGAATTATTTTTATAAAACTAACCACTCAAGTTTATCTATATAGATTTGTAACGCCAATAGTAGCATCTTAATATTAATAATGCAATTTATTATGAAAGATAAATAGTTGAAAATAAATTCTCAATTTATTATGACAGAGAAAAGAGTTGAAAAAATTATGGAAGAGAAAGTTGAATACTTTAGCAAAATTAATGCTATCCTTTAATATTAATATTAACGACACCAAAAATAAAGGATAGGTTGAGTATTATATAGTCCATCCAAACATAGTTGAATATATAAGATATTTAGGTATTGTTTACTTGCAAGAAATTAAAATGAGAATGAATCCGAATCAAATTTAATCTGAATGAGAATGTTATTCCTTTAGGTTATTTATTAGAAATTTTCTAAAACTAAATGGAATTGAAATAGTAATCAAATATATTTTTTCTTATTTTTAGCTAATTACAAATACATTATTATGCTATTTTCGTAATTAAAATAATAATAAATTTTAATTTATTTTATTGATAGTAGATATTTTTTATTAAAACACTTTATTTAATATTAAAAAATAAAAAATAATTAAAATAAAATTACATCAACCAAAATAAAATAATTTGTTATTAAAACCACCCCTTTAATATATTTTCACCAATTAAATGTTAATTTTGAATTTGAATTAACTTAAATGTTTTTTTATAAAATATCTATCAAGATCTCTCCGTCATAGATTTGCCATTATTTTAAACTCTCCTTTGTGCCACTATCATTTTACTGTCTCTCATTTTTATATCCTCCTTCTTAGTCTCTCATTCTTAGAAACTATTTCTTCACTTTGCAACAATGAATGGTGTACTAATCACAATTCTATATGATGATATTTGGGACAAAAAAATTGTTTAGAACGATTTCAAAATCTTTCATATGTCAGTTTGTAACGACTATACATTGTCCAATCTCATCGAATGCATTACCACGAATATTCATCTAACTAACGGGAAGAAAGTTGCATGCTTATCGTTGGTCAGAAATGATGTAAACAGGTCTCTTATTATTAGGTTATCTGAAGATAGAGATGTGACATGAGTGTTAACGGTTATGTTGAATGAGTTGGGGAACGATTGCTGCATTGTTGGTGATACTGCTTCAATAAATGCCAACATTGGCCGCAGAAATGAGAGTGCAACACAAGTGCAAACAATTGTGGATACCCATATTGATACTATAAATGAGAGTGGGACAACATTGTAGATGGCTATAGATACCGACATTTACCATAGAAATGAAAGTACAACACAAGTGCAGTCTAGTGTGGATACTCATATTAGTATCATAAATGGAGGTGAGACACTAGTGCATACAATTGCAGATACTTAGATTGACCCCATAAATGGATGTGAGACATTAGTGTAGACCACACCTCACCATAAACTCAAGAAACTCGAAGTAATAGATCTGATTCACATTCATGGTTGCACACTGCTCTTTGTACATGAATGATGTAAACAAGTCTGCTATTATTAGGCTATCTAAATATAAGAATGCGATATGGGTTCTAATGTTCCTAACGAATGAGTTGGAGAGTGATTGATGCATCATTGAGGATACTACCTCGGTAGATATGGACATTAACCCCAGAAATGGGGGTGTGACACCCGTGCAAACCAGTGTAAGTACGACATTAACCCCATAAATGGAAGTGTGACACTACTGCAGATCAAATATAGATACCGACGACACCAGTGTAGACCACTGTACATACTAATATGACCCAAAAAATAGAAGTGTGACACAAGTAGTATAGACAAATGTTGATATTGTCAATAATCCCATAAATGAAAGTGCGACACTAGTGCAGACCACGACTCACCATCAACGCAAGGAATTCAAAGTAATGGATCCAATTCACACTCATTCTTTTCCATCCAACTTTATACTAAAAAAGATTGTGCTTTCTAAAGTAAAAAAAAAAAAAAGATAAAAAATTGAAGAAGACAGTTTACTTCATACTCATTGACTCCATAAATCGTTGATGGGGCACGGACGGCCGATGTGGCAAGGTTGGGGGTGGCTAGCGTGAGGAATGGTTGCTGGGGTAGCTGGGCGGCGAATGACGAAATGGTTTCTGGGTGTGGCGGGCAAGGATGGGGGCGACGGGCGGCAAATAGGGATGGCAACGGGCGGGGCCGGGGGCCATCCCCATCTCCGCTCAGTTGGGGATTTTTTCCCCATCCCTGCCCCCGTCCCCGAATTTTTGGAGGCGGGGACAGGGCGGGGATTCCCCGAGTCCTTAATAGATATATTTATTATTTATTATTTTTATATATTTTTATTTTCATGGGAGTTAAAATTAAGGAAGAAATGGCTAAATGGGAATTGGCTCGAGTTTTTTCAAAAATTTTTTAAAAGTATTTATTAAAATTAATATATATTAATATTATTATATATAAAAAATATATAAATTAATAAAATATTAACGGGACGGGGTCAGGGATCCGTTTAGGATCCCCGATTTGACCTTGTCCCATGTCAATTCGAGGATTCCTGACCTGATCGGGTCAGCTATCCGCGAGAATTGAGTCCCGCAGGTTTTTTTACCATCCCTTACAGCAAATGGAGAGGATGAGAGTTGCTCTTTGTGTCACAAAAATGGTATTTAAAACGTACCAAAAGAGGAACGATGTTCCAACGACAACATTAGGACTCAATAATCATATTTATCCCTTCCTACCTGTAAATCTATTAAATTTCAAAATCTACCTTAACAAATTTTTGATAATATGTTATTTATCTACCTCTAAAATTTGATTTCAAAATATGGACCATCAATTTTTAAATTAGATTTTAGTCGTTTATAATTTCATTACTACACCTTTTTTTATGTGATTAGTTCTATCAAATAAATTTCTAAAATTAAATGTATATACCTAATTTGTTACATGACTGTATTTGTCTAAAATATCATTCAAGATTAAAGAGAAAATGCCATTTACGCAATATTTCATACATTCTGTCGTTTCTCTTTCGAGAGGAAATTCGAGGCGTCTGTCGAAACGTGTTTCATTTATCCAAAAATTCTTCTTCTCCGTTTACTTCCAAGTCTGCAGCCATCGCCAGACACTTGATTCCACATCAATTTTGTTTTGTTTGATTTTAGATTCTTTATTCAAATTCCCTTCCATTTCAATCCAAGTTTCGAACCAGATATTTTCCCGGTTTACTCTGAAATCTTCCACCTTTAATCTCCAAGTTACTGTGTTGAATTTCAAGTTCGAACGTGGGGCTTTGCTTCCATAGCTTCGAAGTTTTATGTAGGGGGAATCGAATTTCCCTCATAAAGTATGGACAGGAGCGGATACTTTAATCACCGTACTGCATCAAATGATTTCCAGTATTCTTGGAACAGGGATGCCGGAATTGGCGCCAACGATCGGAGGCTGGCTTTCTCGCGTCAAGCTTCGTTGAAGCAATGGCAGGAGCCGCCCCATACGCCGATTCCTATCAACTCCGACGATTCGGCTAAACCTTTGCTTTCGCGGAATATGTCGAGCATAAATATGCCAACTGGGGGTTATTTTGCTTCCGAGAGTAATAAATTGTTTCGTGTGAAGGACAATTCAGGCGATAAATTATCGGTTTTATCCCTCGCCTTTTCAATTTTGGAGAATGTGAGATCTGGGAATCGGTATATGAAGAGGTTATTTCTGATGATATCGCTTAATGTTCTGTATTCGACCGCGGAGTTAGCTATAGGTCTTCTAACCGGCCGTATTGGTATAGAAGTCACTATCATTTTCCCCCTTTTAAATTTGTGATCCTTTCTTTCGAAATTTATTCTCTGTATGTGAAGCATTGCTCTTATTAGTTTGATTGTGACTTTTCAGGTTTGGTTTCTGATGCATTTCATTTGACCTTTGGCTGTGGTCTTTTAACATTTTCATTATTTGCCATTGCGGCCTCTCGGAGTAAGCCCGATCATGTTTACACCTACGGGTGAGGTTTATTTGCTCTTCAATGAGAAGCCAATTAGTTTATAATTTATAGTGTGTTTGAGAGAGATGATAGAATGAGTGATTTTGAAAAAAAGATTCTAAGTATAATTGATTTTTCAAAATCATCATCCAAGTTATGCCATAATAATCAATTAAGTGATTTTAAACTTTTCTAAAATAAATTTTTAATTTGCCATCAATAGAAAGGGAAGTGACTTGGACCAAACACACCCTTAACTAAGTTAACCATTACTGTTTTGATCAGTTTTTACTCTATTGGAAGTAGTTTCTTGGCATTTTTGAGTTCTGTGCTATGTATTCAAATGTTTGTGATGCTTTTCAATTTCGCCCATAATCTTTTCTACACTCTCATAACTTTGAAAACCTACACACTTTACATGACTTGACCTATACTAACTTATCCGACCTATAATAATTTGCTGTGAAAGATGAACTCGTTAAAAATGCTACTGTACTAACTAACAACTGTTCGTCTTATTAGAAAATACCATTTTTAAATTTTACATCACCTTTACACATTTATTGACACAATTGAAATATGATATATACATTGAGGACACAATTATATATTTAACCTATATAAATTAAAGTTGCTTATTGGAACATAGCAGATAGGACTTTAAATTTTGACGACATACCCAAGAGCCAGTAATTTTGTTTGTTCTGGATATCTCACATGGCACTTCGGTTTACCAAACTTTGTTTGATTTATAGAGATGCCAGATGGTTAATTGTAGTGATTTGTCATACCAGGTACAAAAGATTAGAGGTTTTGTCTGCATTTACTAATGCTGTAAGTATTCAAAATTTACATGTTCATGCATTTTTTATGTTCCCGTTACTCATTTGTTTGATGCTCCTTTCTTGATTGACGACTGGTGGGTTCCTGTTCTTTTGATCTCTCAAATTTATGTATTTGTATCACTCTAACTCTCATGAGATTTACTTGTTTTTTTATTATTCATAACCGAACATAGTTTAGTGGTACAGAAGCAAGAACCTGATTTTTAAATGGATAACATCTCCAAGGAGCAGAGTGATGTTTAAAATTCTTTCTTTTTTTGGATAATCAATTTTATATTAATGAACCAGAAAAGAGATAGCCTAGGGGCTGGGGTGAACCTCCCAACACTAAACTAGAAAGGTCTTCGAATCATTAATAATCATGATAAGGCTGTAATTACAAAAGAATTTCTTGTGGTTTGAACACCACCAAGAAGAATTGAACACCACCAAGAAGAAGTATGCACTATTACAAAAAGAATCCGAAGGACTTTTTATCTTCGAAAAACCTACTATTCATTTCTCTCCAAAGTAGCCAAAGGAGAGCACAGCACGGACTGTACAATCTGTGATTATTACAAATTTCCATTTAATGGTCATAGGTCGACCTTGCTTGTTTTCCGCCTTTTGTAATTTCCTAACCTTTTGAAGTATTTGATTTGTATGTTCGCTTTATACAAATTATGCATAAGAAAATCTTAATTCCTTTTACTTTGATAATAAAGTTTTATTTAATATTTTGCTGTCTGGACATTTACTACTCCGTTGCACATGTAGACAGCTATTTCTTCTGTTTCTGTCTTTCTCGTTAGCTGTGGAAGCACTCCATGCATTTATACAAGATGAATCTGAACACAAGTAAGTAGGTCCAGTAATCATTGAGTTGGAGATGCAATATATTTATGTATCTTTTTTGGCTGGAAGTTTTTCTCCTGGAACTCATTGATAGTGGTCTATTTTTCTGTTTCCAGGCTCTTGCCATATAACGTATCTTCTAATGGTTTAGGTCCCTAATTCCCCCTTGTGTACCACCTTAAATTCTTTGATCTTGATGCCCTGCTTCATAGGTGTTTCCATTATGCAAGTTTATTGAATTTTCCTTACGATGTTTTTTTATGTATTTTGGCTGCCAAGAAGCATGTCCACGGGAAATTACATTGACATGCTGACAGACTCTACTAGGACATGTTCACAATATGAACATGTTCATGGAAGCACGTATGCATGTATATATGTGTGTGTATACACACATGTATATTTAGCTTAGTATAAGAGTGTTTTGCATTTTGAGCCCCCAAGGGGTAGCTTGATTAGTAAGGGCTTGGGGTCTCTTGGTCATACTGGCTTAGAGGTCTTAAGTTCGAATCTTCCGCTAAGTTCAATACCAAAAATCCTTGATATTTCCCAGGTTTAGGCTTTGGGGCGGGTGCAGGTGCCCCTGGTCATTTGGGAGCAAAGTTTCGACTCCCAGTTATTAGAAAAAAAAAGAGTGTTTTGCATTTTTATTGATATTATGTTTTTGTTTTATATTTATTATATATTTTAGTGGGCCGTCAAAAAAAAAAAGATCTATATATATATATATTCAGTCTGTATACTAAAACTGTAACATACATGACAATATTTTTGGCTTAATATGTTAGTGTTAGAGTGCATTGGGATGTGTTGGTGTCCTGGACTCTCTGATTCCGATACTTTTGAGTTTTAAGTATAGCTTCTTTATAGCCTGGCTGTACGAACAAGGAAATAGTTTAAATCAAGTCCCATGATTAATTGATCCAAATGGATTTCATATAACACATTGAATGATCAAACACTAAAGATTAGTTGTGTGATGCACCGGTTATCATATCCAGATATGTAAGCTATCATTCTCTAAAGACATAATAGTGGTGGTATTGAATGAGTTCTGAACTTCATAGTTCATGGTTATATTTTGTAGTGATATAGCATTATGTATACCTGATGATTATTATCGCTTTGCAGGCACTACTTAATTGTCTCAGCCGTAACAAATTTAATGGTTAATCTTATTGGTGTTTGGTTCTTCAGGAGCTATGCTCGTATTAATCTTGGTGAGTCTCCTGTTATAGGTTACATCATCTGAGTAGTTATAATGGTTTAATTTGCTTTCTTTTTTGACTTCCATGATTCTTGATTTAGTAATTATTAACTTTAAATTTAATTCAGGTTGTATTATACATAAAGAATTTTCACTAGACTAGACTGAATACTTGACTAGGCGTAGGTCATTGTCTGAACTATAGTACGTCATATCATCCATGGTTTTTCAAGTACTTGATGCAGTTATGTACTGTCCTAATCTCCCTTTAATTTACATTTATCTATATGTATCTATAGTATATATTTAAGTGTGGATTGTGAAATTATATTTTCTGACAATAATGTTTTCATCCTTGTAATAAATCTCTGAATTAACTCAATACCTCAATTTCTAGAGGAAATATTAAAATTTGTGAAAATTAAAAATCTATTATAAAATCATGGTAAAATTATAAATTTTGTCCCTATATTATGAGGATTATGTCTGTTACTCTATTTGGTCCTGACTTCTAAAATTTTAGTTACGTCTTTGAACTTAAATTATGCATCTACTTAGTCGTTATCATTGGAAATGTTAATATCACATGCCCATTAGATACATTTTAGTTGGATTGGCGTGATGGAGTAGATAACTGTCTTTATCTAACATTACACGTCTTAGTATTTTTCTTCCCAACATCAATGGTTTCTTGAGTTCAGCTGGGTCATGTCCAAGGTGATCATAGTATTTATTGACTTTATCATTGAAGCCGTCAGGTCTGTGATTATGATGATTGTCTCATCCCTGGATCATTTCTTTTAGTATACAGAAAAGCTGAAGATATGAATTACCATTCAATTTACTTGCATGTTCTTGCAGATTCTATCCGCAGGTAAAATATGCTCTCGTCCACTCTCTTTATTCTTTTATTTCTGCATGCATGCTTGAATATGCGTGCTTTATCTGAATATAAATCCACTTCCAGTGACATGTTTATCTTCAAACCATTCTTGTCAATGGTTCCTCAGTGCAGGTCTGATATTGGCGTCCTGGTTTTTATCTCTCGGGTAAACTACCAATGCACTTAACCTTTTTGCTGACCTTTTCTTCAAGTTATCTGCTTCAACTATAATCTCACATGGGATTTATGTTTCTTCCATTGCAGGGTTCAAAATGCGGAAGTTTTGTGTTTAGGACTAGTTTCAGTTACAGTCTTTATGATAGTCATGCCTCTCTTCAGAGCAACCAGTGGCGTTTTACTTCAAATGGCACCACCTAGCATTCCAACTTCGGCGTTGAGCAAATGTTGGAGACAGGTCTGTGCATAAGCATGCATTTTATCATGTACAATTTGATAATTATTTTATTTTCTGTTTCAAGAAAAAAAGTATAAGAAATTAAAAAAGGAAATAGGAGAGAGAATACACTCTTTCCATGTGGCCAGATTTGTTATCTCATTCTTTATTGAACAGAAACTAAGAATCTAATTGTTAAAGCTGAAATGTGGATTTGATTTTCTGAAGTTTGGTGTTCATCTTTTAAGCTTCCTGTAATTTGAAGGTCAAATGAAAACTATGAAATTTACTATATTTGCTATCACATTTCATCTACTCAACATGATGTTGCAAGAATGTTCATATTAATATTTTTTCAGCTTTCATCACGTGAAGAGGTATTAGAAGTCACTCAAGCGCGTTTTTGGGAATTGGTACCTGGTCAAGTTGTTGGCTCACTCTCTCTAACGGTAGTGTTAAGCATACTTGTACTCTGAAATTGTTAACATTCTCATGCATGTGCAAGTTGTTATATTACCTGGTAATTCCACTGTGTATATCTGAATTTTCCATTGCTGATATTGGTGAAATCACTGTTGTAACAGACAAAGAAAGGGACGGATAATCGCCAAACACTTGAATTTGTGCATGATATGTATCATGAATTGGGCATACAGGACTTGACAGTGCAAACTGAAGATGCTTGAGTTGCTGCTGCTCCATTTTTCTCCTCACTCCTATTGGTGAATGGTGATGATATCTTTAGCTTATACACACTACCTCAATTTTTCGAACATCCACAGCAGGTTTATGATATATATAAGTCATCTCCATTCTCCAACATGTTCCTCTGTGTTGATGGTAGTTGATAAATGACTTAATTTTTCTCTTCTTCCGCTTCTCTCCCCCTGCACATCCCACATCTTGCATCGTTCACTTGGCTGTTCCTATCTATTATTTTCTTTTTCTTTTGTTTTAGAAAGTAGGTTTTATGTAAAGTTTTTGTAACTATAGAGATAGTTATTGCGAAATTTTATTGAGCATTATGAAAATCTTTAACTAGGCTTATGATTAGTTGGTTTATTACTTTTGAACGTAATTTTTTGGATTTATGATTTGGTAGTCTGTGGATTAATGCACGTCTTTAAATCCTTAAGAACATGCAAGTCATCATGTGTCATGTAGTGGGACAAATATAAGGACAACGAATGTAGTTATTGCTACCACAAGGATAATTGAATACGCCTCTTGTTGTAAAAATCATATACATTTGCGCACACAAGATAATAGAAGAACACATTTATCTTGAATGTGGGATGTGTGTCATCCAAACATGAAAAAAGTTTAAGAGATCTCACAAGATTATCATATGAGGTTGTTGATATTTTCATAGGCTTCATGTAAGGGTGACATCCATAGCTATTTTGAGGATGATGAGTTTATTTCACTTATATTAGAGAATTCTCCCATGTTAGATGATAACTTCTTAGGTTATTTTTTGGATGAACTTCAACATGAGTCGAGCTAGAGCTTAAAAGATAGATGTGACTGAGCTTGTCCTTGCCATTGTTGAAATTGAGTTCTAGTGGACCTTTCCCCACCAACTCCTACCATCATCATCTAGAAGCTATTCTAAATGCAACGCATGACTAACTTCACTACACCGACATGGTAGTAGCTCATGCGCTAGTTTGCCTCATAAGCGAGATACTAGGCACCCAAGCTATTCATTCATCAACAGCAAGGGCAAGTGGTTTGATGCACCAAAGGCACCATCAAGCTCTTACTACATTTGTAATGGGAGCTATTGGATGCAAGATTCCCCTAACCATCGATTCCTTTATGCGATGGCTGCTTGATTAGTTCAGAAAAGCATATAAGGATCAGGTAATACATGAGATCCATAAACTTTTAGGTTCCATGTACCATGACATTGTTCTGCCGAGGGCTATGTTGCCCATACTAAGGATTGATTTATGTTCCTCAAGAAAAATAGTAATGGAAAGATTCCTTTGTCTGACACTGGAGTAACGAACAATTTTGTCTACATAGATAAGCTTGTCTTTGAAAAGGTTGTTGAAAGGGATCAGAATCAAGTCAAATAATGGACTTGCAAAGATTTAACCTTCAACATCGCTCATGATGTCAAGGGAGATTGACATGCAAGACGGATTTGGACTTCTCTAGGATCTCTAAAATCTCCATATAACTCACACTGTTAGGGTATGCATGCATCTAGATCATAGAATCCCTAGGCAACTCACTCTTTTTGAAAGCTCTCATCACCCATAAACTATTTAAACTAAACTCTGCAAACAAGTATCCTCAAGACTTGGGAACTCTTTTCCACCTAGCTATTATGAATTACACCCCATGAGTCGTAATGTAAGGCTGGAATTCATGATCTTATCTTAAAGAAAAATGCTTTATTGCATTATACACACATACTATTGATTGTGTGGATCAAAAGATAAGCCTCCATAGAAGATGATTATATATTAGAAGAGACTTTGAACACTTTCTCTGCCACAAACATTTAAGATTGATTTTCCTTATTACATTCTAATTCAAAATAAATAAAAATATATATATTTTAGAGAGAGAAGGCACATGGCATGCATAGAGGCAGATTCCATGCATGACAAAGCACAAAACCTTTCATGAAAATATCATCTCCCAGTAAGTTCTGTGAATTGAGTAAGCTGACTTTCTTTCACTAAGTTGTTTGCATCTTCTCTGAATGATGGGGGCATGGGAGGCCACACAAATGAAGGCCTTTCATTGGGCAAAACTGGTGGATTTGCCTTCCCCTTGAGCACATGCATAACATTTCTCATGGTGGTCCTTTGGAGCGGGTTGGGATGGCAACAAGCTAACCCCAGAATCAATAGATGCTCCAGTTCTTCTCCAATGAATTGTCCTTCAATTCTCTCATCCACAGCTTCAACAATTTTCCCTTGTGAAACTCCCATGCCCAATGTGCTAGACTGCCATCATAGCCACCAAGCTCAGATGGATTTCCTGGCTTTCTTCCACACATAACTTCTAGGATGAGAACTCCAAAGGCATATACATCTGTCTCTGTCGTAGCTCTACAAGTTAGAAAAATCTCTGGAGCCATGTAGCCAGGTGTTCCTGCTATCTCTCTTGTTGAATGATGGGTCTGCTCACTTCGATGGATTATTCGAGCCAATCCGAAATCTCCCAACTTAGGTTCGAACTTTGAGTCCAACATGATGTTGGATGACTTTATGTCTCTATGGAGCACTGTCCTCTCACATCCATTGTGAAGATAATCCGAAGCCTCAGCCACCCCACAGATTATGTTTCGTCTAGTTCCCCAATTGTGTGCCAACTCCATCCCATCGATCTGACTGTTGCCAAATATCAGCTTGGACAAGCTGCCGTTTGGCATGTACTCGTAGACAAGTAGAAGATCTCTCTTTTCATAGCACCATCCGGTTAGCTTTACAAGGTTCTTGTGATGAAGGCTGCCAATAGTAGCAACTTCTGCTATGAACTCTTGCTTCCCTTGACGTGAGTCCTCTGCGATTCTCTTGATGGCTACCTCTTTATCTAACAAGATTCCCTTGTAAACTGTTCCAAAACCACCTTTTCCAAGCCTGTTCTTGGGATCAAAATCGTTTGTTGCCTTCTTGAGTTCTCTTAATCCGAACTTTTGGGCTCGTGGTGCTATGGAGAAATCTTTAAGCTGATCTTCTATGCCTCCATATGGTTCATCTGGTTGGTCCATTCGACGTTTCGTCTCCCAGAAAAAGAAGGCAAGGCCAGCCACACATATGTGCCCTGCTACAACTCCAGCTACTGTGAGCCACACCCACAGGGGTCCTTTTCCTCTACTGAAATCTGTGCCGTAGAATTGCCACGATTTCACACTGTTCAACTGTGTATAATTGCTTGTTGAAGCTGAGAATCCCACGAAAACTTTGTCTGGGAGGATGGAGAGGTCCAAGGGTCGAAAAATGACGAGATTGTTAAGTTGATCCTCTTTTTTGTTGGACATGGAAACAAAGACTGAAATGTACGTCCCATCATATTTGATTATCCCAAAAATTGAATTAGCAGATGAAAGATTAACGCGGAAGTCGGATAATGGTTGTTGAACAATGGAGAAGATACCGTTGATGTTCAAACCCACATGGTTGCTGTCGACGTCTTGTGGGAAATTCTTCCTGGTGTCAAATTCGATCGCCAATATTTTTGCCTCCAACGTTCCATTTGTGGAGGCATTGACAATCCCCAGCCACTGTCCGTAGCTGCCAGTGGGAGGAGAAGCATCGGCGGCTAGTATGAAGGCCATACCCTCACCGGCCGGCGACGACACCGGGCTGATATTGATCTCGAAGTTGGTGGTGAAAGATGCGATTTTATCATTGTATTTGAGCTTGAATGGTTTTCTGTAAACTACCCTTCCAGACTCGTTGGCGATGGAAGCTCCTCGGACGTCCAGTGTGACTTGCAAGGCGTCCAAGAAGATGGCAGCATTATTACTCAGAAGGAACTCGGACGGGTCATCAGCGCTGAAGAATGGAAAGTTGATAAAGAAGCACCGTGTGGGGTGGACAGCGCAGCCGAAGAAGGCGGCGGTGGCCAGCAGGAGAATTCTGATAGTTGCTAGAGAAGAGCTCATCGTCTGTATGCAGAGGAAAAACAATGGCGTCTTGCAGAGAATCGGTTGAACTCTCCTTTGTTGTGAGGTCAAACAAGGAGAGAAACTGGGAAGGCCTGAAATGCTGCTGCTGACGTTTGATGTATGTGGGTGCACCCATCATATTGAAAGTTCGGTAATTAAAATGGGGAAATCTTGCAAGTTTAGACCAGAATGAGATTTATATCTAAAATAACTTTCCAAAATTACCTCGGACTTTATAAACATAACAAATCAAATTTGTATTACGAAACTGTTCCCAAGCCACCTAGCAGTTGAAACTCTTTTTTCTTGAAACCAGAGGACGAGCAGCGATAGCTCACGCTCTCCCCACTCTCTGAAGTCGAATTTGGAGCAGGTCACAACAAGTCGGAAGAGAGAGGAGTGGTCTTCACTGGAAAATACTTGGCTCCTTAATGGTCATGATTAAATATTTTCCTCACTACCATTCAAAAATTGACTACTTATTTAAAAAAGAAGTATTTGATTTTGTATTTCTTTTTTTTTGTTGTCAAATATTTAATGGTGGTGAGGATAAAACTGCTCTGGTAAGGAGTTAAGTATTTTCCTTTTGAAAATGGATTGGTCAAGATAATAAAGTTAAAAGGGGAAAATATTACGGTTAAACTAAAATTAGATTGCCATCTCAATCTTCCTTCAAATTTATAAGATTACTCAAAGTTATTTTTCTTAATTTATAAGATTACTCAAGTTATTTTTCTTATATATATATAATCTTACAAATTTCCAACACATTGATTTAATCAAACCTGATTTTTTTTTCAACATAATATCATAAACCTGATTTAATCAAACTCGATTTGTTAGGCAGTTTACTTGGATGATTCAAAGTCAAACAAAGGATTAAAATTTTGATATTTGGAAAACGATTTATAAAAAAAATGTAATTTACAACTTGGTCATTGGAAGCCTATTAGTTTGATATTCCAAGTCATTTTATATGGAAAAAACTTGCTCCTGAAGATGTACGACCCAAGTTTTTCTGTTTTATATTAGAACAATACTTCCATATAAAACGACTTGGAGTCTCAAAATCATAGACTTCCAATGACCAAAAATAACATATAAGTTTTATAAGTCCCACTTTGGCTGCCCAAAAATAACTGTTGGATACAATTTAAAAATTTTATGCCCCTCGACAACCCGTAAATATAAGTTTTATGTAGTTTTGTAGCCAAAGCGAGCATAGCTTAGCAGTAATAACATATATTTCCAACCACGTGGTTGTGAGTTCGATCCCTACAATCAGGTTTAAAGGATCATAATCACATCAAATAATAATGGACTTTTACAAAATGCTCAATGTGCAGCTGAGAAGATCACTACTTCAATTATAAGATAGTTATTCTTCACACCATGGCTCTTGTAAATCACTATATAGTTCGTGTTTATAACTTTTCTGTATAACGCATCAAAATTCTTAGTCAAATTTTAAAAATAAAAACAAAATTTTAGAAACCACTCGATAACAAGATAACAAGATAAATGAATACATGGGTGAAAGTAGCAGCGGTAAGCTTAATTTTTTAAATACAGATAACCAAAACCAAAATAGTTGTCAATTTCTAGTATCAGCCCCACAAACTATTTATAGCAATATAACTTTTGTACAGTCAAAATATCACACTACTTGATTCAAAAGGTGGAGAAAAACAATATAAAAAAAAGTGGATAAAAACTCCATAAAATATGGATCACATCTTGGGAGAAAGTTATGAATATTACAACTAATCATTGGATCTAAATTAAACCCTCCTACCATAAACATTTAAGTTGTATCTTCTTCTGCTAATACGTTTTAATTTAAAAAAAAAACCCCCTTCATCTTCCTGTAAGTTCTAAGCGAGGGTTTATATTTATTTTTGTAATTATATACAACATACAACTTCTTGATCGGGAAAATCACTATTTTTAATTGACATATGGCCAGAAATTCTTATCTTTGCTAGTCAAGCACTCTCCACAACTTGTTGTGTGAATTATGTCCAAAATACTTGCACTTTTTGTCCAAAATAGGAAAATATTTGGCTCAAAATATCAATCTTGTCCCGACTACCCTTAAAAATAAAAGTACTTAGACTCTTTAACAGTAAGGACTAATATTGTATTTACCATTATTCAATGTTTGAGAGAGATAAATGTAAAAACAAAAATTTCTTTTAAAAAATAATTAGTTGTCAAATATTTAATGATAGTAAGGAAGTGAACTAATTAGGAGCCAAGTTTTATCCTTAAAACATATATATATATATATATATTTACATTTCTCTTGATTGTTAGATATTAACCATGGTTAGGACAAGATTGATTCGAGGAGCGAAAAGAATCCCACCCACGAGGCTTTAAATCTAATTCATGGCCTCATCCTAGAGGTTAAAAAGGGCAATAAAAAGCTTTATTGCATCATATATCCATGCACTAATTATGTGCAATCAAAAGGAAAATATTTGCTCAAGGAATCTTATTTACACCACCATTTAATATTTGACAATTCATCATTTTTTAAAAACACTTTTTGTTTTTGCATTTCTCTCTCTTAATTGTCAAATATTAAATGGTGGTGTGGATAAGATTCCTCCTTACTAGTGAGGAACAAGTATTTTCCCAATCAAAATACCACGCTACATTCAAAAAAGGCGGAGAAACAAACAACTCCACAAAACTACTCTAAAGACTCCCACCATACACATTTAATCCATATTATTTTCCTTTTTACATTCTTCTCATAAATTTCCACAAAAAAGTTTCCTTTCACTTCATCTTCCTGAGAGCTTTGTGAATGGAGCAAGTTGGCTATCTTTGAGAGAGCTGTCTGTGTCTTCTTTGAAGGATGGGGGCATGGGAGGCCACACAAATGAAGGCCTTTCATTGGGCAAAATTGGTGGATTTGCTTCCCCTTTTAGCACTTGAAGAACATTTCTCATTGTTGGCCTTTGCAGAGGATTTGGATGGCAACAAGCCAGCCCCAAAATCAGTAGATACTCCATTTCTTCCTTCACAAACTCCCCTTCGACTTCAATCCTCTCATCCACTGCCTCACCAATCTTCCCTTCCTTGTGAAACTCCCACGCCCAATGCGCGAGGCTCCCGTCGTAGCCCCCGAGCTCCGATGGGCTTCCCGGCTTCCTCCCACACACCACTTCCAAGACTAGAACTCCAAATGCATACACATCTGTCTCTGCTGTGGCCCTGCTGGTTAGAAAAATCTCTGGCGCCATGTATCCTGGCGTCCCTGCTATCTCTCTCGTGGAGTGATGCGTCTGTTCTGTTCGACGAATTGTTCGAGCCAACCCAAAATCCCCCAGCTTCGCTTCGAACCTCGAATCCAACATGATGTTTGATGATTTCACGTCGCGGTGCAGCACTGTCTTCTCGCACCCGTTGTGGAGATAATCTAAAGCTTCTGCTACTCCATAGATTATGTTTTGTCGAATTTCCCAATTGGGTGCGGTGGAGGACTTGTCATCGCCGCCGAAGATCAGCTTGTCCAAGCTACCGTTGGGCATGTATTCGTATACGAGCAAAAGATCTCTCTTCTGGTAGCACCATCCGATTAATTTCACGAGGTTCTTGTGATGGAGGCCACCGATTGTTGCCACTTCGGCGATGAATTCTTGCTTCCCTTGACGGGAATCCTCTGAGATTCTCTTCACGGCGACGTCTTTGTTCATCAAATTTCCTCTGTAAACCGTTCCGAATCCGCCTCTCCCGAGCCTGTTCTTGGGGTCGAAATTGCCGGTTGCATTCTTCAGCTCTGTGAATCCGAACTTTTGAACTCGTGGGGATATGGAGAAATCTTGAAGCTGATCTTCTATGTCTGGATATGCCTCTTCCGAATCTTCCATTTGGCGTTTCCTCACGACCCAGAAGCAGAGGATGGCAACCCCAGATATGAAAACGAGTCCTCCGGCGACGGCGGTGATCCAAACCCACCCGCGGCGGTGATGTTTGTCGTCGTCGTCGACAACGTCAGTGCCGGAGAATTGCCATGATTTGATCCAATTCAATTGAGATTCGTAATTGAATTTCGAAGCAGAGAAGCCAACGTAAACCTCGTCGGGGAGAACAGAGAGATTCAGGGGATGGAAAATCACGCGGCTTTTCAACTGATCTTCCAATCTGGACGACGTAGAAACGTAAATTGAAATGTTTTGGCCGTCAAAATCCGCTCTGACAAAAACATCCGTCATAGCCGAAAGATTAACCCGAAATTCCGACAATGGCTTCTGCGAAACAGAGTAAACACTGTTCAAATCCAACCCCACATGGTTCCCGTCCACATCCTCCGGAAAATTCTTCCTCGTATCGAATTCAATTGCGAAAATCGCCGCCTCCGCCGTCCCGTTCATCGTTGAATTGGCAATTCCCAGCCACTGGCCCTCGCTGGCGGCCGGAGGGGAAGGATCCGCAGCAAGAATAAACGCCACCCCTTCATTTCCGGGCGGCGAATTTGTCTCCGACCCTAAATTAAGCACAAAATTGGCGACAAACGTCGCCGTTTTACCTCCGTTTCTTAGCCGGAATTTCTCGTAGTAAACGACTCGCACGGAGGCATTGGCGACGGCTTTAATTTCGAGAGGGGGTGGAGGGCGCACGTGATCGCCATGGAAGACGCTGGTGTCGTAGTTCCAGATGAGCGTGGCGAGCTGATCGTAGTTGGTGGCGAGGGGGAAGTCGATGAAGAAGCTGCAAACTTGAGCTACCAGAGTTGCAGAAATGGTGGCGAGTAGAAGAAATGGCTTTTTGGTGGAAGCCATGGCTAAAACTAAAAGAATAATTGGTGTTCAGACGAGGAGAAGTGGTTGTTTTATGTGAAAACCTTGGCATCCACAAATAATTTTTTTTTTCCCTTTATTTTTTATTTTGCTTTGATAGTGGAAGATGATGTGATGACAACAAAGGCTTTATAGATTTGGTGTGAACGTTTGTACTCGTTCCCTTGACTTAGCGCAGTGCAAATGTAATGTTGATAGAAAGAGTAGTTAAATTATTAGTGTGTCTAGTAATGTAGGGAGATCGGAGGTTTCGAGACTTATTGGCCAGACATAGATATTAATTATCGTTGAACTAAATTCATGTTAGTTGTATCTAATATGATATTGTCTGTTTTGGATATAGTCCTCCCGACTTTGCTTTTAGTTTTATCCAAAAAGTTTTGTAGCAATGGAGATAATTGTTCTTCCTTATATATCATGGATCACTTAAGACTTTGTTTGCACTTCTTACAAATCCAATAATTTTCTCAATAAATATTCAAATATATGGATTAAATTTCAACCTAGAAAAATACATAGACTAAAACATAACAAGAGTCTCAATGTGGGTGCAATCATATAGCACTAATACACCGAATTCCACTAGAAATTCGAAGTTAAGTGTGTTTGGGGTAGTACTTGGGTGACCAATTAGAAAATCTTTCTGTTGCACCCCTTTCTATTTTATCCATTTTTAAACAAATCTTATCTTTATGTCTTGTATCACATTTTTTTCCTTTATAAAATACATCACCATAACAACAACTTACTTGTCCTTGCCAACATAAGCTTCGATAATTGACATCTGTCTCAGACCAACATGTCATGATTTCGAATCCTCATCACTTGTTATATTCAAACGAAAAAAACCTAGAACTTACTTGGAATTTTTGGCATTATTATAGGGTGCCTTTTAAATTGACGAAATTGTAAAATTATATATATAAAAAAAAAACAAATTTCGTCCTCGAACATGAGGTGAACAATCTTCTCTAATTCATCCTATTAGACCTTAGACTTAGTTAAATGTGACAATTTTTATTCTTTATTAAGCTTTTATTTACATAATCATTAAAAATTATTATCACGTAGTCAACACTAGTTAAAACTTCTATTAAAAGAAGTTTATTTAGAAAAAAAAAAGCCATCACAAATGGTTGGATTTTGGTTAATCGGTGGATTTTGAGATATTTATTAAATAATTCTTTTGTGCATTGATTTTCTAAAAATTGATTTTGTACATTAATTTATTAGTGAGCACCCTGAAAGTCTTACATTTTTTTTTGTCTCTGTTGAATATAAATTTGGCCGCACGCCCACCAAGTCGCGGACCAGGCCCACCACTCCCACCCCGTGCACACACGCACGTAGGGGGCGCTCGGGGGTGTGGGCACGCGCGCAAGGAGCTGGTGGGTCTAGATTACGTGAAATAACCTCCATTAGTTTAGGTTATGCATGACGGGCGAGGGGGGTTGCGCTGGTGTGCGTTGGACGCGCGCGCAGGGGTGACTGTTATAGTACTCTCAGTATTAAGAGACTTGATGAAAACCAAGTCTAATAATAAGAGACTTGATGAAAACCAAGTCTAATAATAAGAGACTTGGTTTTCATCCTATCGATTTGTCGCCTTTTACGGGCTGACTGTTATAGTCCTCATACCCTTTTGTCGTAGTTGACTGTAGTCAAGTCTCTTGGTTTACTCTTGGGTTTCTAATCTATTTGGCTTTTGCCAATGGTTTTATACCCTGAGTCCAGTTGATATCCTTTTGTTGTTGTCGGTTGTCGTTTAATGGGCTGGCTGTCATAGCCTCCATTTGTTGCAGTTGGCTGCGATCAAGTCCTCTTAGCCACTGCTATACGGTTAGTTTTAACCGTTAGATTTTGGCCTTGGGATCTAACTTTTAACAGAGCCAGTGGTACTTCCTTTGGGTTTCTAACCTATTTGGCTTTTGCCCATGTTTTATACCTCAGGGTTTACTCTCGGGTTTCTAACTCACTTGGCTTTTGCCAATGACTTTTATACCCTGAGTTTAGTCGGCACCCTTAGGTTTCTAACATATTTGGCTTCTGCCGGTTTTTTACCCCAAGTTAAATCAACACCCTCRGGTTTTTAACCTATTTTGGCTTTTGCCATATGGTTTTCTACCCGTGGGTTTCATTGATTGGTTARGTCTGCYTGTTTTYTGTTTTAACCTTGCTGGGCCTG